TACTTGGCCTCTTGCAGCACTCAATACTTAATTTCTGCCACTTGTAACTCTTCTCCTGTTTATAAGTCTTTACACTTCTGTTTTCCTTCTCCCTTTCTGGCTGTCCCTTATTAGTTTGTTACAATACCCTTTTCCATCAGGGAAAACTCCCACATAGAGTTGCTTAAAGCACAATCCAAGTTGCTATAATTTTTCTTCCCTCTGCTTTTTCTCATGACCCATTAGGAGATTGTAAAATCAATTTAATGGGTCATATAAGTATTTATTAAACATTGAAGCAATAGAATAAATAACATCAGGGTACCCAGCCAGAGCGGCTCCCTTGGTTAGACATCAGTCCTCTCTCTTGCACCGAAAGGTTGCTAGTTTGATTCCCAGTCAGGGTACATTCCAGGGTTGATCTTACATAAATATTTCACTCACCTGCTCCTCTGCTCCTCCTCCTCTAAGCATGTTCTGGGGTTAGGATTTAAAAAAAAAAAAATCAGGGTGCACTATCCACAGGGTATTTTATATATATATATATATATATATATATATATATATATATATATATATATATATATATCAAGGGTGGGGACCTTTTTTTTCTGCCAAGGGCCATTTGGATTTATAACATAATTCACAGGCCATACAAAATTATTAACTTAAAAATTAGCTGGCTATATTTGGTCAAACATTTCATTAACTTACCTTGGCAGGGCCAGAACAAATTATTTCTTGAGCCTTATATGGCCCATGGGCAAGATGTTCCCCCCCACTTATATAGTTTACATATTTTTTATATAACACACACACACACACACACACACACATGCACACACGTGCATACATGTCTTTGATGGCTGCAATGTAAAAAGTACATATTAATGTGAGGTGTAAATAAAGAGTGTGAAAGCTTCATATATGTTTATTTCTCAAGCCGAGTACTTTCCTTAGAATTTAAGACGGTGCATATTGAATCACCTATTCCACGCCTTCTCTTAGACATCCTCTATGGAGACCTCACACTCAACACAAACTCAAGGCTTTCATCCCAATCTTGGTATTTTCTCCTTTGTTCTGAATTTCAGGAAATGGTCCCACCATCGTTCCAATTGCAGAAGTGGGAGACCTGGGAGTCCATTGTGGTACTTACCCCTTCCCAGCCCATGTCCATCTTGTTGACTTAAGTGTCTAAATATATCTTTATCCTGACTGCTTTTCTCTATCTGCATCACCCAGGTCCAATTTACCCGTATCTCTCTCTCATCTGGGTAAACTGGGCATCTTTCTCCTTGGGCTCCCCTTGGGCCCACCCATTCTCTACAATGTCTCCTGAGTGGTACTTAACAAACACAGCCCTGATCATGGCACTGCCTTGTTAAAAATCCTTCAGTGGCTTCTCATCATTCCTAGACTCAAAATCTAGGTCTCTTCCCCCCCCCCCCCTTTCCCAAACCCCTTCCCCCAGGCAGCCACTTCTTTGCTTCTCTCTTCTCCTAAAGTCCAAGGGCTCTCTCCTCCTCCTCCTCCTCCAGGCAGCCACTTCTTTGCTTCTCTCTTCTCCTAAAGTCCAAGGGCTCTCTCCTCCTCCTCCTCCTCCTCCAGGCAGCCACTTCTTTGCTTCTCTCTTCTCCTAAAGTCCAAGGGCTCTCTCCTCCTCCTCCTCCTCCCCCTCCCCCTCCTCCTCCTTTTTTTTTTTTTTTTTTTTTTTTTGCCTCTATAACTTGTTCCCTGCGTTCACTCATACAGCTCAGCTGGCTCATTTATTTAAAAAATTAAAAAAATTAAAATTAAAAAAAAAATCTGAACATGGCTGACCAGAACCCGTGTAAAATCTCCAGCCTTAATTTCTACCATCATCTCCCTCCCCGCCTCTGTATCCTAGCCACACTGGCTGGGCTGGATAAGGTTGGTTGGCAGACAGCATCCATTCCCACTGTGTTTGTGTGCCTTCCTGTGCTACACGTATGTGCTACGTATTTCCAGACTTCTTTTCAGGTAGCGCTCCAGCGATGAGGCATACCATATTTTTCGGACCATAAGACGCACTTTTTTTCCCCCAGAAGTGGGGGGAAAAAGTCCCTGCGTCTTATGGTCCAAATATAGCCTACACATATACTTTAAAAAAAAAGTTTTTTTACTTGCCCGGCTCTGTGTGGTCTCTGTGTGCTTGCCCGGCTCTAAAATGGTTCTAAATACTGCTGTTTACTTTACAGGGTTGATTACATGTGTTTATGACTGTGATGTTGGGTTTTAATGCACATAAAATATTTTAGGACACTATTTGTTTCAGAATCTTTTTTTCTTCATTTCCCTTCTCTAAAAACTGGTGCGTCTTATGGTCCAGAGCGTCTTATGGTCCGAAAAATACGGTACTTGCATGAGATTCGGAGGGCAGAAGGAAGGCGGAAGTCACAGTGTTGGCTATTTTTGCTTGTAAGTTCTCGGGCTTCATGAACTTGACATTTCATTGTCCTGGCAGTAGCTTTCGGATCCTAGCATCCTGTCCTTGGGCAGCAGGTTCAGCAGTGAGTTCTCAAACTCGGCCTTTCCAGCGGTGAGCTCCTGGTTCCTTTCTGACTGTGAGGGCGGCAGCAGCTCCCCTGGCAGGTCAGTCTCTGTGGGTTCCAGGAGTTATTCCTAATACCCAGCCGGGGGCCATCACTCTCTTCACTAACCAGAGTGGTTTCTGTTTCTAAACCTGGACTCCCCTGGATTTCTAGATTTGTCCAGGGTCCTCCCATTACAGGGTTATACTTGTTATCCCCTTTGCCTAGGCCAGTGGTCGGCAGACTCATTAGTCCACAGAGCCAAATATCAACAGTACAACGATTGAAATTTCTTTTGAGAGCCACATTTTTAAAAATATATTTTTTATTGATTTTTTTACAGAGAGGAAGGGAAAGAGAGTTAGAAACATCAATGAGAGAGAAACATCGATCAGCTGCCTCCTGCACACCCCCACTGGGGATGTGCCTGCAACCAAGGTACATGCCCTTGACCGGAATCGAACTTGGGACCCTTCAATCCCCAGGCCTACACTCTATCCACTGAACCAAACCAGTTTTGGCAATGAGAGCCAAATTTTTTAAACTTAAACTTCTTCTAACGCCACTTCTTCAAAATAGACTCTCCAGGGCCGTGGTTGTTCTCCGGGATGTTATCCCTGACCCTTATTTCTTTGAATGAATTATCACAGTTTGTAAGTAATGTACCTATTTGTGTGACTCTGGAATTTGAGCCCCAGGGACTTGACTGTTTTGTGTTAGCCCATGGCCTAGAGTTAGTGCCTAACGTAACAGGTTGAATGAATGAGTGGACTGGAGGTGGCCAGACGGGAGGGTGTTAAGACAAAATCAAATCTCCCCAATAGCACGGACAAGCCCGGGCCGCCTCCTCTTGGCATGTCCCCAACCACATCTTCTGTGACTTTGCAGACTGGACATGCTGTGTGTTCCAGGTCTCTGCACAGGCTGTTTCTATGCTTGGATGTCTCTTCCTTCTCTGCTGGGCACTTATTCTTCCTGCAGGCCTCAGAGGAGACATCATCTCTGCTAGGAAACGTGTACTTCACACAATTCTGTACGTTTTGTATTTTTTCCCAGAGTATTTAAAAGCACTTATTATTTTTTAAGACTGCTTGTTACTTATCTGTATCTCCTTCTGTCTCGTCCATGGGCCCTGTGGATGCAGCCCAGCGCCTTGCACAGGCCTGGCAGCTAGTCCGCCAGCCTCGTCCAGGGATCTCGGCACACTCCCCTGGAGGCCGTGAACAGTGAGGAATTGTAATTTGGGGGCTGCTAGATGGGGAGAGGAAGCTGGGGGAGGTTTGTTCCGCTCCAGCCCTTGGCTCAATCCCCAGAACGCCAGGCAGGAGGCCCTGGGGCGGATTCTGTGGGGGAGGGGCAGGGAAAGTTTCTTCCTCCGCTCGCTCCAGGAGGGCGGTAGGGAGGGGCGGGGAGAGGGAAGATCCTTCCTAAGAGGCTCCTTGGAGCAGAGCCGGCTAGGGAGGAGGGGGAGGGGAGTCTGATGAATGCAGGCTTTCTCCGGCCCACTGGCCTCCAAGCGCTGGGAGGGAGGGAAATGCAGGGCAGAGAAGATGAGGGGGAGGGAGAGAACAAGAGGGAGGAATCCGGGAGGGAAGGGTCTGTTTGCTTTGGGGGACAGGAAGGAGAGGGGCTGGGCTGGCTCTGAAAAAGAAAAACGGTTCCCCAGAGCCAACCAGGCCCCAGCTACTCCAGATCAGCTCTGTAAATATCTGAAATCACTGATTCAGAATCAATACACTGGAAACTTTCTTAGGATCCTAACATCTCAGAGCTGAAGTCTTTCAGGGGTTTGGGTCTGGGGCCGAGGGGAGGGAATCTCCAGGATTAGTTCCCTTTGGAGCAGTGAGTCAGCTCTCCCCGCAGAATCCTGGGACTCTCTCTTCTTCCCTCAGAGCTAGAAGAGATGGCATTTTTAAAAAGCCCATGAATACTTGCAACCAATTCCTGGCACTTACAACTGTAAGGTGATGAAACGGACACCATTCCTCTGTCCTTCCCACAAGTCTGTAATTTCTCAAGGACAGAGTCCCTCTCACTCATTTTGGTACCATTCAGAACTGTGGTCTCAAAACGGGCCACCCATCAGAATTGCTTGGGGATGCTTGCTAAAAATGTTTCTCCTCGCCTCGCTCCAGTGATTCTGATTCTTTGGAGCCGAGTTAGGGACTTAACACTTGAGTTTAAGGCAGCCCATAGGGTGAAAATTTGGAGAGAAGACAAGGCAGAGGGAGTAACAAGTACAACCCTCCCTCCCCCCAATTACAACCTGAGTTTTAAGTGCATTAAGTGATTAGCACACTGGGTTTAGGGAGCAACTCCAAAGGGCCTGATTCAACAGAGTAGGTGATTGAGTGTTGCCTGCAGGGACTGGAACTGTATTTGCAAGGTAAACAAGTGGTGTGTAGGAGGAGGTATGGACTGAACTAGGGTCTGTGTACCCACGCACCTAATCGAAAGGAAGCACTGTTAGCAATACAAAAGATAAATATTTATTCAAACAAAACTTTTAACAATGGATTTTACATTCCAAGCCACAAGGAAATAGCAAAACTTAACGCAAAGGGAAGACAAAAACCCGAAGTAGTGTATTGTCTATTCTCCTTTAACTTGATAACAGTTGACCCAATGCTCTCTCGCATGGCCTATTTCACAAGTACATTTCAGAGTTAACAACTCACATAATTCTGGGTTCAAACAGCCTTTCTCCTGAGAGTCAGGAGTCTGCAGATGAACTCCATTCGCTGCTTCTCTGGGGTGTCTAATGCCTAACTATGGAGACTAAGGTGCAAATGTAAACCTTGGCTAGGTTTCCTTACACAGGAGCACCCGTTTCTCGCTGGTGGCAGCAAATGGGGAAGGGGGAGGCCCCCAAAGGACCAGGCACACTTTAATCCAGGTGGGATACCCCAAGGGAACCAGAGCGCCCTGGATTATGTCTCCCCAGTATGCAGAAGCCCCTGCTGAATCTTCCTTTTTCTGCTTTCTGGCCCAGATGGCACATTGTTCTGGAGAGATCAGACTTTCTGGGCCCTCAAGTGTTGAGGAAAATGTTGTGAAGTGTGAGAGGTAGTGGAATGAGCACTGGCCTTGGGGTCAGGGAACTCTAGGCTGGCTCCGGCACCAGACAGCTATTAATAGTATGTGATTTTTGACCCATTTAACCTCTGGGCCTGTTTCACTGTTGGAAAACCTGGGGATTGGTGTAAACCAATTTTTAGGTTCTTTCCGACAGGAACATTCTAGAATCCATACTTTTGTGGCTCTTCTAAGCCACCGAAAGAGCTGTCGCAAAGTCTATGTATTTTTTAATGCCATAAAGAGAGACCCTTGGCCACGTTCAGAGCTTATTGACTCAGGTTACAGACACTTCTAACAACACTGGTTTTTCACAAATTCTCAGACCACACGGATTAGAAGCAGCAAATGGTAAGGGGGAGGAGGGGACGAGCTGCACAAGCCAGACATCCTGACAGAAGTCACAGTCAAAAAACGTTTTCAAGTCAACAAACACGGATGGAGCGCAGTGTCTACCACGTGCTGGGCCCCGCACATAGTGCTGGGCCATCAAGTTGAGCGAGGCAGCCCCCAAAAGGGTGAAAACTCGGGGAGAAGACAAGGCATATAGGGAGGAACAAGTACAAACCTCCCGTCCCCCAATTACAAAAAAACCGAAGACAAGAAAATTCAATAGAGGGACTGGCGACCTCGCTGCACACTAACCGCTGTCGGTAAGTCATTACGAATGACAGTCACCAATTCGGAAAAGGCTGACATGGAGTAAACTCGGTTCAAGGCAGAGATAGAGAGAGATATCTCTTGTTTTAAAAAGTCTCTTTCAAACACGATAGAAAACGGTTTCAAAAAAGGTTTTGGCACTTAACGAGGGGGTAGGTAAACTGGCTCTGGATTCACCCTGGCAGGCAGGCAGGCGGACGGGCATGCTCAGTGCCCGGCCACCCCGGGCGGCAGCGGGGGCGCCGCGGCGGCATTGGCGGCGTTGTGCACGGCTTTGGGGCACTGCGCGAAGGCGTGCCCCCGCTTGCCGCAGAGGTTGCACACGATGCCCTTGCGGCAGTAGGGGCTCAGGTGGCCCTCCTCCCCGCACCGGAAGCACCGGTCCTGCGTGCAGCTGCCGCTCAGGTGGGTCCGGGAGCCGCACTTGAAGCAGGTCTTGGGCTGCCCCTTGTACCAGCTGTAGCCGCGCTCGGCGCCCAGGAAGAAGGCGCCCGGGAGGTGGCGGACGCCGCCCTCGCCCTGGCGCAGCTCGATCTCGCACTTGTACTCGCCGGTCCAGATGCCGAAGCGGTCGGTCACCTTGACGGGCACGGCCAGCACGTCGCAGTGGCGCTTGAGCCAGGTGACGATGTCCTCCACGTCCACCGTCTCGTTGCGGAAGAGGATGAAGAGCGTCTTGAGGCTGGCCCTGCCGCGGCCCAGCACCACGAAGTTGTCCCAGCAGTCCTCCTCCTGGCGCTTCTCCTCGTACACGCGCAGGAACAGCGCCAGCTTCTCGGCCGAGCGGAAGCTCACGTCGAACTCGCGGCTGCCGGGGATCTGGATGACGGCGTAGATGTCGCCGGGCTCCATGCCGATGGAGCGCAGGATGAGCGCGCCCACCACGAAGTCCCGGGTGGGGCAGGCGCTCTCGTCGCCCTGGAAGCAGATGCGCACGAGAAAGCGGCCCTTGCCCGGGCCCCCGGCCGCCGAGCCCGCCGCCGCCGCCGCCGCCGCCCCCAGCGCGTCCTGCGGGGGGTCCTCCGCCGCGCCCGCGGCCGCGCCGAGCCTGGACGGCGTCGCCATGGCCGCCCCCTCGGCCTTCTTCCGGCGGCCGGCCTCCGCGGCGCCTTTCTTCTTGCGGGGGTCCGCCGCCTCGCCCGCCGGCTCCCTCCGCCGGCCCTTGGGGTCCCCGCGGCTGGCCGGCGGGAAGTCGCCGAGGCTCGGCGCCGCCAGGCCCGCGAGGGCGCCCAGCGCGCCCGCCCCGCCGCCGCCGCTCTCCTCCTCGCGCCGCGGCGGCCGCGACTCGCGGAACTCACCCTTGTTCGCGGCCAGGTTCTTCACCACCTGCGCCCAGCCCAGCTTCCCGCGGCCGCCCGCCGGCTCCTCGGCGCGGGCCGCGGGGCGCGCGGCGGGCAGCAGCTGCGGGCGCCCCCGCTTCCTCTCCTCCTCGGGGCCGCCGCCGGTGGCCATGTTACCTACTTCCCAGCATCCTCCACTCGCCCCCGCAGCCACGGGGCGCCCATCGCGCGGGGCGGTGGGTTTGGGAGGCTTTTTTTTTTTTTTTTTTTTTTTGAAATTTGACGCCGCGCTTCCCCGCCCCGCCAAAAGCACGGACGTGCGGCGCCGGGCAGCCGCGCGGGTTCCGGGCCCTGGTAACGGCTGCGCGCGCTTCCGGCCGGCGCGCCCCGCCCCGCCCCGCCCCCCGATCCCCCGACCCCCCGACCCCGGCCCGGAGCCCGGAGCGCGGAGCTGGGAGCTGGGAGCGCGGCCCGGAGCCCGGAGCTGGGAGCGCGGCCCGGGCCCGGGAGGCCTTGGCGGCCGCCGCCTCGCTCTCGAGGATTCGGGTTGCGCAAGCGGCCCTGTCCCCGCAGCCCGCAGCCCCGGGGCGGGCCGAGCCTGGACCTCGCCCATCTTGGCGGCTTTTTGTTTACCTTTTCCATTCAGAGGAAACCAAACTTAGCCCTCCCTCCTCCCCGGGGAACCACCAGGCGAGGTTGGGTTATTTCAAACACACAGAAAGTTGAATTCAACCGCGAACGTTTCGCCTTCTGACTATTTTAACTTTCTAGCATTAAAACCTTACTGCACTACACCTCTAGCACACTACCCTTCTGTCCATCAGGCCTTAGTTTTGATAGTAATTTTTTTTTTAGTTTTTTTTTTTTTTTAAGTAAGATGACATTATTATTATTATTTTTTTTTTAAAAAAAAGATCTCCCGCATCCTCAGGAGAACAGTTTATAACACACTGAGCGCCGGAGCGCCCGGTCCCGTTCTAAGCACAGCGCAAGCCTGGCCACATGGAATCTTCCAAAAGCAATGGAATCTTCCAAAAGCAGTGTTGCCGTTGCCATTGTTCAGGACAGAGGGGCTCGGAGAGGGGGTTCAATTACGTGGCCCCGGGCAGAGCTCCTAATAACAAATGGGCGGCTTGTATTTATGTATTAAACCGCTTTGTTTCTGACGTTGTGCATCCGGGGCTCTGCATCTGACTCTCCAGGAAACAGTCTTAACACAGATTCCTGGCTACAGTTAGCACCGGACAGAATAAATCTGTTCCTCTCGCGTCTGTCTCAACTGGTGTTTGGAGATACAGCATTTGGGTGACTGAGGACCTTTCTGCCAGTGTTTTGTCTTTTTTCTGCCTATCTGCACATTCCAGGGTGCTCCTTTCCCCCTTCAGGGAAGGAAAAGGTGGCTGTGGAGTCAGGGAGACCGGCCCCCCTGTACATCTGAGCGCTTCACATCGCAGCCTCGCCCCGTGGGGCCAATGACTTCAGTTTCCATAGCTTCAATCTGCTCCCCCACAACAAAGGGATGTTAACACCTACCGTCAGAGGAGGGATGTGGGAGTTCAAGGAGATAACATGTGCTAAAGACCTTGATCCACGGTGTTTTAAAAAAATTTTTTTTAAGCTTTAAAAAATCTTTTTTTATTGGTTTCAGAGAGGGAGGGCGAGGGGGAGAGAGAGAGAAGCATCGATGATAAGAATCATTGATCATTCCACAGCGGGTTTTCCAGGATTGGTTAATTTAATGCCTCAACGATGCTATCAAAGGGACAGGTCCCCTCCACTTTCCCCTCTTCCATTCCGATGTTTAGTTACCTCCCCTCACAGTTCCACAATTCTGGGAATGCCACACAGATATGACAGTATCTAGTAGCAGATGAGAAAATGTCTCTCTCTCTCTCTCTCTCTCTCTCTCTCTCTCTCTCTCTCTCTCTATATATATATATATATATATATATGTAATTTATTTCAGAGAGGAAGGGAGAGGGAGAGAGACAGAAACATCAATGATGAGAGAGAATCACCTGTCCCCCCACCCCCCAATCGGGATCAACTGCAACCCAGGCTGGACCAAACACATAGGTCAAAGCTCAACCACTAAGCCAATGGCCTGGCTATAATGTCTATTTAAAAAAAAAATTATATATATATATATATATATATATATATATATATATATATTATTTTTTACAGAGAGGAAGAGAGAGGGATAGAGAGTTAGAAATAGCAATGAGAGAAAAACATCAATTAGCTGTCTCCTGCACACCCCCTACGGGGGAAGTGCCTGCAACCAAGGTACATGCCCTTGACCGGAATCAAGCCCGGGACCCTTGAGACCACAGGCCAACGCTCTATCCACTGAGCCAAACCGGTTAGGGCTCTATTTTTTTTTTTTTTTAAGTGTGATGAAAATCTTTCCTAAAAATATCTAAGTAGACTTCTCACCCTATTCTTTGTCTCGACTTTTATCAGATGCCTATGACTAAACCAAAAACTGGCAAGAGAAATGGACCCGTGAAACCTAGCTCAGACCAATCATGATTTCTGGAGAGGGAGCTGGGACTAGGGCTGGGGCCTGCCTCCTCTAAAGACAGTGCCTGTCTGAGTAAGATCAAGCTGAGATGCACCGGGGAAAAATGGCTGTTGGGTAGGCAGCCACCCAGGTTTGCTGCGTATTGCTACCTCCTACTTTTTAACTCTTTTGTGGTACAGAGCTTCTCAGCTGGAGTTGTGGTCCAGTGGGCTTTGTAAATGTGTGTGTGTGTGTGTGTGTGTGTGTGTGCCTGACAGTGATTCCTTCAGCCCTAGGGACAGCCGAGAGGGTCCTGGATGGCCGGAGTACCTAGCTAATGCTTTTATCATACCAGTCTCTCTCTTTTTTTTTTTTTTTTTTATATATATTTTATTGATTTTTCACAGAGAGGAAGGGAGAGAGATAGAGAGCTAGAAATGTCGATGAGAGAAACATCGACCAGCTGCCTCTTGCACACCCTCTACCGGGGATGTGCCCGCAACCAAGGTACATGCCCTTGACCGGAATCAAACCTGGGACCTTTCAGTCCGCAGACCGACCAATCTCTTCTGTTTACCGTAGTGTGCAGTACAATTTAAAACATTTTCTTGTGATTTTTAACGGGGGAGAAATTGGGCAGCTCTGGCCTAGTATTCTTTAGTAACATTCCCCTATTTAAGTTTAGGAGATTTCAAATTATTTACTCCCTCCAAATTATTTTTTAAACTGGAATGTACTTTTATTTTATTTACATTTTAAATATTTCATGGATTGATTTGAGAGAGAGAGAGAGAGAGAGAGAGAGGGAGGGAGAGAGATTGATTTGTTGCTTCACTCATCCATGCATTTTTTGGTTGATTCTTATATGTGAAATATAGTAGCAATCATATTTGGGTAAAAACTGCTGTTTTAATTTTAACCCTGCTATTCTGGTTTCAGCACTTGCTTACTTGCTTAAACAATAGGGTAGCTGCCTCAGCTACCAGATTGAGACCTGGAGGCTAAGGCAATTTTCCTGTGTCTGTGGACCAGGACCACAAGAGATTGATTCCCACTGACTCAGTAGCTCCAGGAGTAGAAATTGTAGATAATCTTTAGAGATTAACCACTCAGGTCTGCTTCTGTACTATCTACTTTAACAAGATAGGGCCACATTCCAACGTCCAGCAGGAAGTGGCTGGGAACGGCCTTACTGGCTGTTCCCAGCCTTTGGAATTTAGAATTTAGAACAAAGGAAAATTCTTGTGGTTTAGACCTTAAAAAGGACTGCCTACACCTGGAACGGTGCAGTCTTGTGGACTCCACCTGCGTGTGGTGCTTTCTCGGCCGTCCTGGCCAGTTCAACAAATCCTTGCCTGCTTTTTTTAAATCAATCATCAGCCTCGGTGGTCTTATTTTGAACCCAGGGTTCGACCCCACAACAATATGTGCCCTGACCAGGAATCAAACTCACAATGTTGGCCCTGTCCAGTTTGGCTCAGTTGATAGAGCATCAGCTCATGGACCAAAGACTGAAGGGTCTTGGGTTCAATCCCTGTTAAGGGTAATATACCTGGATTACGAGCTCTATCCGTGGCCCTGGTCAGGGTGCTGGGAGGCACCAAGTTAATATGTTTTTCTCGCATGTATGTTTCTCTCTCTGTCTTTCCCCCTGCTTTCCACTGTCCCTAAAAATCAATAGAAAAATATCCTTAGGTGAAAATTAATGAATAAACAAACAAGGAAGACACGCAACCTTGGCTTATTGGGACGATGTTCTAACCAACTGAGCTACCTGGCCAGGGTGGGAATGCATTTTTAAATTTATGCTATATAGCCCTAACTCAGTGGTTGGCAAACTGTGCCTCTCGAGCCACATGTGGCTCTTTGGCCCCTTGAGTGTGGCTCTTCCACAAAATACAACGTGTGGGTGCACATGTACAGTGTGATTGAAACTTTGTGGCCCATGCGCAGAAGTCGGTTTCTCAAATTTCTCAAAAGAAATTTCAATCGTTGTACTGTTGATATTTGGCTCTGTTGACTAATGAGTTTGCCGACCGTTGCCCTAACTGGTTTGGCTTTGTGGGTAGTGAACTGAAGGGTCCCAGGTTCAATTCAGCTCAAGGGCACATGCCTGGGTTGTGGGCTCGATCCCCAGGGGGGGCGTGCAGGAGGCAGCTGATGGATAATTCTCTCTTATTATTGATGTTTATATCTCTCCTTCTTCCTTCCTCTCTGAAACCAATAAACATATATTTAAAAAAAAAGTTTATGCTATATATAGCAAATCTGGAGTGTGGAGAGAGAATTGGAGTGGGGCAAGAGTGGGAGCTGATACTGTAGTCCAGGCCTGAGAGGAAGCAGGGTATGTGTGTGGGTGACGGTAGTAAGTGGCCTGATTCCAGAAATACTTTAAAGGTATTGCTGACAGATTTGGATGTGGGATGAAAGATGAGTCAAGGATGACTGCAGGAAGAGCTGTCATTTTGAGTTGGGTGAAAATGTTTCTGGGGAAAGAATGCATGCTAGTTGCCTAATGCTGTCCAAATGGAGACATTGAGTAGACAATTGGCTGTATGTGACAGGAATTCAGGGAAGAGGCTGACGATGTGAGGCTGGGAAGCATCTGGGTAATTATGGGATCTGAAGTCATAAGACTGGAAGGGAGCACATGGGGTGAAAGCAGCTATTACTGGGGCAATCCAGTAATAAAGGGAGAAGAGGAGGGGCCAGCAAAAGAGAAGAAAAGGAGGTAGGAAGGAACTCCTGAGAGTGGTTTCCTGGATGCCACGTTTAGAAAGCATGTCAAGGAAGGAGTGACCCATTGTGCCAAATGCTGCACGTAGGCCAGGTAAGACGAGGTAAGATGAGGTTTAGCAAAGTGGAGGTCACTAGTCGTGTTGATTGACAAGGGGAGTTTCCGGGGAGAGTGGGACAGTGAAAGCCTGGCTGAAGAGGCAGAGAGGAATGGTAAACAGAGTAGGCACATCTCTGTAGGAGTTTTGCTGTGAAGTGATGCAGAAATGGAAGGGGAGCTGGATGGAAGTGACCACTTAAGTTTTTGTTTTTGTTTTTTAATATATTTTATTGATTTTTTACAGAGAGGAAGGGAGAGAGATAGAGAGCTAGAAATGTCGAAGAGAGAGAAACATCGACCAGCTGCCTCTTGCACACCCCCCACTGCCCTTGACCGGAATCGAACCTGGGACCCCTCAGTCCGCAGACCGACGCTCCACTGCTGAGCCAAACCGGTTTCGGCAAGTTTTTTTTTTTTTTTTTTTTTAAATATATTTTTATTGATTACAGAGAGGAAGGGAGAGGGAGAGGTAGAAACATCAATGATGTAAGAGTATCGTTGATCGGCTGCCTCCTCCATGTCCCACCCTGAGGACTGAGCCTGAAACCGGGGCATATGTCCTGACTGGGAATTGAACCATGACCTCTTGCCATAGGGTGACGCTCAACCATTGGGCCGTGCTGTCTGGGCATGCTCACTTTTTTTTTTTTTTTTTAATAGAAGAAATTAAAATATGTTGGTATGGAAAAGAGTGATGGGAGAAAACGGGGTGAACTGCTGGGGAAATACCTTAGAGAAAGTAAGAGAGACTAGGATTCAGTGCATAATTGTAGGAATTGGTCTCAGTGGGCAATTTATACAGAGTCACAGGAGAGATGTAAGTGGGTGAGTCAAGAAGGTGAAGTGAACTTTTGAGTTTACTGATCCCAAGATTTTCTTAATGAAATAGGAAGCAAATTCAAGAGTAAGGATTTGTTCCTTTTTTCCTTCCTTCCTTCCTTTCCCTTAAAAAAAAAATAATAAGGATGAAGAAGGAAGCAATGGAGGTTTGATGAGAGTGAAAATATGACATCATCCTTTAGGCTGAGGGATATTTGAAACCAAGGTGAAAAGAACGTGTGGAGAGCTTCGTTTTGCCCTGCAAGGTTCGTCCCTCTAGGCACGCCGTAGTCTGCGTGTCCGTTCCCTTGGAGACGCGGGCCCAGGGGACGCGTCTGGTCTCCCAGGGACGTTGGAGCGGCCTGAGTTCCCGCGCCATCCCCGCTGAGGCTGGGAAGTTGGAGAAGGCGAATCAACAGGCATCCCAAGAGATCGGTGCCCCACGGACTCCCCGAGTCTCCTTCCATCTTCCCCAATGCCGCGTGTAGGTGGAAGGAGGAACGCGAGGTGGGGAAGGGCGCACGCCTTTGCCCCCCGCCCGCGCTGGGGGGCTCTCCGCGGTCTCACGGCCCCCCCCTCCGCCCCCTTTCCTCGCCCACATCTCCCCGGCGCCCCCTCCCCCTCCCCCGGCGCCCTCTGGGTTCTGGTTTTGGATTCACGCCTGTTTCCTGCTTGCTGCTTGCATCCCATGGGTTGGAATGATGGAAGGTCTTTCCCGCCTAACTGTTTTCTGACCTACCTACCCTAGGCGTCGCTCTCCACCCCCCAAGGTCCAGGCTCTGGTGAGTAGGAGTTGGGTGGGGGTAGGGGTGGGGTTGGGGGAGGGAAGGGGTGGGGGTAGGGTAGGAGAGGAAGGGGAGAGGTTCGCTGATCCTGAGCCTGCAGCCCTCCTGCTCTCCATTCCGCTGAAGCGACAGCCTTGGGTGGCAGGGGCCTGAGCTCTGGATTCCAGGCCCTGCTGTGGGGCCGCGGCATGCCTCTGGGCCTCAGTTTTCTTACCACCTTTATCAGGATGGAAGGGTGTGGGTATGTGATGTCTCTCTCTCTCTCTCTCTCTCTCTCTCTCTCTCTCTCTCTCTCTCTCTCTCTCTCTCTCTCTCTCTCTCTCTCTCTCTCTCTCTCTCTCTCTCTCTCTCTCTCTCTCTCTCTCTCTCTCTCTCTCTCTCTCTCTCTCTCTCCTGTGATTCTATGGTATGCCGGTTCCCTTTGGGTCTTTTTCGTGCCTTCTGTTCCTCACAGTTCTTAGCACCTCACAGCCTGGATGTGCTTAGTAAGTTCAGGCTGGCTGATGATAGAGTGATGGCTGACGCTTATGGAGCACTTACCACCTGCTCTACACACCTCTTTCAGAATTCTCACACCCACCTAGGGAGGTAGGTTTATCATTAGATCCAGGCCACAGATGAGAAACTGAGGCTGAGAGAGGTAAAGTCACTTGCTCAAGGTCACGGACATTGATAAGGGGGGAAACTGGAATTATTATTATTATTTTTAAAAATTTTACTTATTTTTTACAGAGCGGAAGGGAGAGGGATAGAGAGTTAGAAACATCGATGAGAGAGACACCGATTTAGCTGCCTCCTGCACACCTACTGTGGATGTGCCCGCAACCAAGGTACATGCCCTTGACCGGAATTGAACCTGGGACCTTTCAGTCTGCAGGCCGTAGCTCTATCCACTGAGCCAAACCTGTTAGGGCTATTTTTTTGGGGGGAGAGGGGTTTGACACTTTTTTCCAGTTAGATAACTTGTCTGACTGTTGAAATCAGCTAGACTCATTCCTGCAAAAGTCTCCCTTAAATTTTGTTTTGGGAACAAACACATAAGCACACACACACAGAGACAAATTGACCTCCGCCACCCACTAAAAGCACATCAAGATGTTCTGACCAGAATCCTCTTTCGTTGGAAATTTTAAAAAAGATATATATTTTTATTGATTTCGGAGAGGAAGGGAGAGGGAGAGAGAGAGAAACATCATTGATGAGAGAGAATTACTGATCAGTGGCCTTCTGCATGCCACCTACTGGGGATCGAGCCCACAACCGCAGGCATGTGCCCTTGACCAGAATCGAACCTGTTACTCTTATGTCTGCAGACCATCTCTCTATCCACTGAGCCAAACCGGTTAGGGCTGAAGCTGGAATTTGAACCCATAAGGCTGTGTGACTGATTCTGTTTTGTCTGGTAGGATTATGCTACATGGCAGCTGTCCAAACAAAAAATCAAGCCATTCGTTCCGCTTCCGGTCACACACAAAAGTGGCCATAAGAAAAGCAAAATGAAGATTATCGACCAGCCAGGTGAGCAGAGGCACTCTGGGCTGGAATGGGAGTTGGGGATCGGATAGAGTGAATGCCCTCGGCCCTTGGTGACTCCATTTATTTTAGGGGAGGCTCACTGTTTGACACAGAAGCTTATATCTAATATATGTCAAAGGACATGTGTGCATCTGGGCAGGAGGAGGTAGTCTTTTCTACATGATTATTATTATTTTTTAAAAAAATATATTTTATTGATTTTTTACAGAGAGGAAGGGAGAGGGATAGAGAGCTAGAAACATCCATGAGAGAGAAACATCAACCAGCTGCATCCTGCACACCCCCACCGGGGATGTGCCCACAACCAATGTACATGCCCTTGACCGGAATTGAACCTGGGACCTTTCAGTCCGCAGGCAGACGCTCTATCCACTGAGCCAAACTGGTTTCGGCTCTACATGATTATTTAGGGGCCTAGATTCCTTTAGCCTTTGTGGCTATAACATTTTGTAAGGCCTTAAAGTTCTCTGCTGGATACTTCTGCATCCAGCTGACAGAGCAGGAACAGAGAGAAAACAAGAATATGGATGATTTTGTGGGCATTTTATTTTCCAGGGCCCAGACTTGAAGTGATACAATATCACTTCCAATCAGAAGCCATAACTCAGTCATCTGACCACTCCTAACTACAAGGGAAGATGAGAGATGTAGCCCAGCTGTCTGTCCAAGAGGAAAAGAAAATAGGGTTTGGTGAATTCAGGGTCATCTCTGCTACATCACTGTCATGCCTTCCAGCGGAGTTCTGAGGCCTGGGCCAGGCAGACATGGCTTCAGATCTTGACTCTGCCTTTTACTCTCTGGGGAAAATCATTTATTCCTCCATGCTGACCTGATAGGATTGTTGTGAGAATTAAATGAGATGATCTCTTTAAAGCATTGTTGCTCAACTTTTTGGTCCCAGGTTCAATTTGCCAAACTCAACACTCCTTTTTAAAAAATATATCTTATTGATTTTTTACAGAGAGGAAGAGAGAGGGATAGAGAGTTAGAAACATCCATGAGAGAGAATCATCGATCAGCTGCCCTTGCACACCCCCTACTGGGGATGTGCCCACAACCAAGGTATATGCCCTTGACCAGAATCGAACCCGGGACTTTTCAGTCCGCAGGCCGACTATCTACTGAGCCAAACCAGTTCCGGCTCAATACTCCTTTTAATAACAAATATTTTGTGATATTCCTTTAGTCTCTTGAAATAAATTTCATAGATAATATAACCTACCTACATATATAACAAAGAAATAATATAATACCCTAACTATAAATAAAAAGTAAAAGTTTTTTTTTTATAGTTTAATAATGTATTTCAATATGTAAATGCTCAGCTTGGACTCCACTAGAAGATATGATGAGGTCATCAGAGCTTACTTACAGAGGTACAGCAAGCATGTCAAACTCAAAGGCTAACACGAACCAAATAAACAAGGTTTAAGTTTATGTGGGCCACAAAAAAACACAAACTTCAATTTTCATAGTAACGTAGGATTATTTCAATAGGAACATGCTGAATACAAAGGGCTGAAATAAATGAGTAATCGTTAACATGAAATAATAGAACATTTTAATAAAAATATTTTTTTCTTGAACATTAACTTACCAGACACTGAATAATTGCACAAATTAATAAGCGTAATGCAAATAAACCTATTCTTCATGTTCCTTGAAAGAGAAATATTTCCTGTTGTGCACACCAAGTAAGTTAGTCCAAGACTAATGATGTGGCAATCGGCTGCTAAAATATTCGCTGCTAGTATTAGTGGAGAGAAATGGTGCACCTGCGTGTAAGGCACATAAGAGAAATGAGTGCGACATGATTATAGTAATTAGTCATCAGCGAACGTTGTAGTTCATTATTACTAATTATGTATAACTGGATATTGTAAAAGTTAAGTTATGAAATTTTTATTAAAACGTTCTTACATACCATTATGTTGGCTGGGCTGCAAAAATACTTGTGGGCCGCATGCAGCCCGTGGGCTGCGCGTTTGACATGCTTGATATAGAGAATCCTGGTGAATGTAACAGTTGCAAAGGAAGGCAGACTGACAGGTGGTAAGATATTGGGACTCTAATACCAGGGGGATTTTTCATTGCTGCCATGATTTACAAAGTGGTACCTTCCTTTTGATAAATTCCAAACAAAATAAAGCATGATCTTTCTTTTGATTGTAGCTGCTTTCGTGGAAAATTCCACATTATAGTAAACCTCTGCAAAATATTCTCTCTCTCTCTCTCTCTCTTTCTCTCCCTCTCTTTCTTTCTCTTTCTCTCTCTCTCTCTCTCTCTCTCTCTCTCTCTCTCTCTCTCTCTCTCTCTCTCTCTGCCAATCCTCGCCCCAGGATATTTTCTATTGATTTTTAGAGAGAGTGGAAGGGAGGAGGAGAGACAGAGAAACATTGATGTAAAAGAGACACATTGATTGGTTGCCTCTGGCTTGTGCCCATTTGGGGATGGGGATCGAGCCTGCAACTGAGGTGCATGCTCTTGACTGGAATTGAACCTGGGACCCTTCAGCCTGCAGGCCACTACTTTATCCAGTGACAAACCGGCCTGGGTGCAAAATATTCTTTGTGTTTATATGTGACCCACAGTCCGGTTCGGGGATCAAACCATTCTAAATAGCGTTTTCACCTACATCAGTATCTGTTAGGATTTTGGAAGGTCGGGTAGACATAGGAGAATTCTGTGTTCCGTGGGGCTGTCCTGTTTGGGGGATGTCTAGTATCCCTTGCTCCCACCCACAGGTGCCAGTTGGGTCCCCCAATATTTGTGAAAACTCTGCCAAGGTACCTAAAAAAAGGTACCCTTTTGAGAATCATTGATGTAAAGTGATGATCTTAAGGCCTGGTGGTGGTAACAGAATTTTTGTCTAGAGCCCTAGACTCTATTCAGACAGCATCTTTATTTTATTTTTATTGATTTATTTTAAAAAATATATTTTATTGATATTTTACAGAGAGGAAGGGAGAGAGATAGAGAGCCAGAGACATCGATGAGAGAGAAACACCGACCAGCTGCCTCCTGCACACTCCCTACCGGGGATGTGCCCGCAACCAACGTATAATACATGCCCCTGACTGGAATCGAACCTGGGACCCTTCAGTCCACAGACCGACGCTCTACCACTGAGCCAAACCGGTTTCAGCTGTTTTATTTTTATTTAAAATATATATTTTTATTGATTTCAGAGAGGAAGAGAGAAGGAAAGAGAGAGAGGAACATCAATGATGAGAGGGAATCACTGATTGGCTGCCATCTGCATGCCCCTACTGGGGGTGGAGCCCGAATCCCAGGCATGTGCCCTTGGCTGGAGTCGAGCCTGGGACCATGCAGTCTATAGGCTGACGCTCTATCCACTGAGCCAAACCTGCTAGGGCTCAGACAGCATCTTTAATGAAACTCTTGCCCAATTCCTTTACTGAGAAGCCAGTGAAGTATATAACAGACACAACCACAAAAAGAACAAGAGCAATGAACATATGTCAAGCACTTACTACCTGTCAGATACTGTTCGCAGCACTTTACAACTATCACTTCAGTTAATCTCCCAGACAGCCCTGTGAGGAGGGTGCTGCTGTCATCATCTCTTACCGATGAGGCACAGACAGGTGTAACTCCAAGGCCACTCAGGCGGGGCATAGCCAGGCCCAGCTGGGGCATTTGACAGTTTGGCTTTAAGACCCACAGTCTTTTCCCCCATTTGATGTTTAGGGAGAGTGGAAGGGAGAGAGAAAGACAGAGAAAAACATCGATGTGAGAGAGACACATTGATTGGTTGCCTCCTGCATGTGCCCTGACCAGGGCTTGGGCTGGGGAGGAGCCTGCAACCGAGGTATGGGTCCTTGACCGGAATCGAACCTGGGATCTTTCGGTCTGTAATCCAATGCTCTATCCATTGAGCCAAACCGGCCAGGGCAGGACCCACAGTCTTAGCCATACATATTTAGCTGGAGAGAGTGTGGGCACTGGAGATATCCTGGTGAAGGATACAGATTGGGTTTCTAGTCACTAAGAGCTCATGGTTCCAACCTCAAACATGTAACTACACAACCGTTTATACTTAGAAGAAGATGATCATCTCGTTCACTCCTTACAATGACGGGAGATGATGTTATCACCATTTTACAGATGAGGAAACTTAAGCTTAGGATGGTAACATGTTCTGTGCAAAGTCGTGTCCTGACGACAGTTTTGTATATTCAAGAGAAATCAATCATTTCTACCAAGGTGGAATAGCCCTGTTTCTTTCTATTCCTCCCTTGCACAACTAAAACTTGTTGGATATAACACACAAACAGAAAGACTCTGAAAACTGCAAAGAAGACGGTGGACTGTTAGTGAGGTGAGTGGACACAATCATCTGGAATGACGATGAATACGGGGAAACCAAATTTAAAACAGTACATTTACAATCGCTCTAGAGAAAATGATTGGCCCGGCTGGCTCAGTGGTTGAATGTTAACCTGTGAGCCAGGAGGTCACATTTCGATTTCCCATCAGGCCTTATGCCAGGGGTGGTGAGCTCAATTCCCAGTGTGAGGCATGCAGCAGGCAGCTGATCAATGATCCTTTCTCATCATTGTTGTCTCTATCTCTCCCTCTCTGAAATCAATTAAAAAAAAAAAGGAAAAAAAGGAAATGATATGTAGGTATAAAGTTAACAAACATATATAGGATTTGTATGTTGAAAATTATATATAATGCTGGTGAACGAAATCAAACAACTAAGTGAATAGAGAGTCATACCATGTTCATGGATTGGAAGACTCAACATAGCAAAGATGTCAAATTTCCCCAAATTGATGTATATGTTTAATACAGTTCTTATAAAAATTCCAGCAATGTTTTATAGACAAAGACAGGTTTATTTTAAAATTTATATAGGAAAGCAAGGCCCTAGAGTAGATAAGACAATTTTGAAAATTGGAAGAATTTGGAATTCTTAGATATAATTTTTATATCTCTTTATATCTTTTGCCCAT